CAAAAATGTGATAAGTAGTCATGAAGTTAAATGTGTAATTTATGCCCTAGAATGCCTGAAGATGCTCCTTGAATGTTGTGGCTAGGCTTTAAAAAGAGTCTCACACATTTGGTATCCCCTTACTCAGGAGAAGTAGCAGAATGTATTTTTGGGGTGTAATTGCAAGTATGTCTATGCCATGTGAGAAATAACTTGTTAGTATGATAATTTTGTGAAAAAAATAATTATTTAATTTCTTCATTTTCCAGCCTCAAAAAACTTACAATGGCTTACTAAATACCTTGGACTGTCTACAGGTCATTTGGGGGTATTTGTACTGTCCTGGTATGTTAGGGCCTCAAGAGATGAGATAGGTAGTCAGTATATCAGAATTGATCAATTTTCAATCATACGTAGCATAGCTTGTAGATTGTATAACTTTCACACAGACTAAATAATATGCACTGATTTGGATTATTTTTACCAATGTAGCAGTATAAAGTTTGGACTAAATTTATGAGGAAATATTACTTATTTGCAAAATTGTATAATAGAAACTTAAAAAAAGTGTTTTTTTTTTTCCACAAATTTCAGTACCGATATGGCTAAAAAAAATGAGTGGTGATTAAATACCATCAAAGGAAAGCTCCACTTGAGTATAAAATTTTTTTTAAAAAAATATAAATTTTGTTTGGGTACAGTGTTGCATGACGGAGTACTTGAGATGAATATCACCAGACATGCACAGTTCAAATTCCTGATCATTGTCACTGTTTGTGCCTGGACAGGGGTGGACTGACAAGGGGATCATGGGGCCCCTGTGTCCTTGCCCACAATCCAACCACACCCGAAAAAGGCTATGAAAGGTACCATGGGCATCTCATGGGGCCCTCTACTCACCCCGGGCCCTCGGGCAGTGCCCGAGTTCTCGAATGATCAGTCTGCCCCTGTGCCTGGATGATGCACTGCAGAATCTTCATCTGTTTCTTCTAAGCTCAATTTCTCTGGTGGCTTCGGTACTGGCAGAATGTTGTCATGTGGCAGACCGCTGGCTAAATGCAGATTGGGGTATTCAACTGACTTCTTATTTTTTAGCAGAGAAGCTAGCAGCATTAGTCAGAAAGAAGGAACAGACTGTCACATTATCATGTTTTTGTTGTAGCATCAGAACAGCAAACAGCATTGAATTCCAAGTTCCTCTGAGCCAAGCTCTAAGATTGACAGCACATCTTTTACAACAAATGTAAGGAACCCGAGCCTTGTCTTGATCTCCGGTCTTACAACCAATATACAGTTCATATGCTTTCTAAACGATTCCAGCCATGGTGTGTCTTTGAGGCTTAAGCGTGTATGTGCCACAAATGTAGCAGAATGTAATGTTGCTGTTTGGACCTTGGCAAGACATTTCTGCTAATAATTCAAAAACATAAAAAACAATATGTTGCGCTCCTTCTTTGAATATTAACCACTTGCCGCCCAGCCAGTGTATAAAAACAGTGGCAGGGCGGCACGGCTGGGCAAAAGGACGTTTTAAAACGTGCTGTTTCAAAACAGGTAGGGGGCACGCGCGAGGCGCGCCGCCACCTTACCTTCACCGCTGATCTCAGCCGCGGGTGTCAGTCGCCGGGTCACAGCCGGTTGTTATCAGCTGTGTCCCGGCGATTTGCGGCAATCAGTAACAGAGAGCAGGGCTGCGGTAGCTCTTCTTTCTGTCACTTCCCTGACAGTTCCTGACATGCAGACCAAGAGAAATTAGTTTCTCTGTCCCGATCTGCATGTCTCCCTGCAGTACAGACCCCGCCCCCTAGTAAAACACTCTCCCCTCACACAGTTAACCCTTTCAGTGCAAAAAAAAAGTAAATCCCTTCCTCCCCAGTGCCATTAGTACAGTGTCAGTGTTTTTTTTTTTTTTTTGCACTGATCACTGTATTGGTGTCACTGGGGATGTCAGTGACCCCAAGTCAGTCCCCCCCCCCCAGTGTCAGAATGTCCGCCGCAGTCCCGCAGTCCTGCAGTCCTGCCATAAGTCGCTGATCGCCGCCATAAGTCACTGATCGCCGCCATTATTAGTATAAAAAATTTTTTTTAAATCCTAGTATCTTTCCCGCCATTTGTAAACACTATAACGTTCACGTAAACCAATTAATTTACACGTATTGGGGATTTTTTTTAGCAAAGACATGTCTCAGAATGCATTTTGGCCGAAATTTAAGATGAAATTTGATTTTTTAATTTTTTTTTACTGGACATGTTTTATAGCAAAAAGTACAAAATATTGTTTTTTTCTCTCAAAATTGTCAGACTTTTTTTTTATAGCGCAAAAAATAAAAAACGCACAGGTGATCAAATACCACCAAAAGAAAGCTCTATTTGTGTGAAAAAAAGGACATAAATTTCATTTATGTACCGTATTGCATGACTGCGCAATTGTCCGTTAAACTAGAGCAGCGCTGTATAGCAGAAAAATGGCGTAAATTGCAGTATCTATACCATAGTTTGTAGACGCTATAACTTCCACACAAAGCAATCAATATACACTTATTGGGATTTTTTTTACCAAAAACATGGAGCAGAATACATTTTGGCCTAAATTTATAACTCATTTTGAGTTTGCTATATATTTTTTATAGCTGAAAGTAAAAAAATATCGTTTTTCTTCAAAATTTTTGGTATTTTTTTTGTTTATTGTGTGAAAAATAAAAAGCGCACAGGTGATCAAATACCACGGAAAGAAAGCTCTATTTGTGTGAAAAAAGGACGTAAATTTCGTTTGGATGCAGCATTGCATGACCGCGCAATTATCAGTTGAATTAGTGCAGCGCCGAGTAGCAAAAAGAGGCCTGGTCATTAAGGGGGTAATAAATCCTCAGGAGGGCAAGTGGTTAAATCAATACAAATTTCCAATAAAGATATCAAAAAATCAATATTAATAAACTTGTGAAAAACAGAAAATGTGTGAAATCAAAATGTCATCCCGTGGTCATCATACAAAAAAAATATATATATATAAAAAAATATATAAAAATTAATCAGTCTTCAATGAAAAAAATATATGTGACTTTTTCCAGTGATTCAAATCAAATCAATAATTCCAGGTGACTTCCTTAGTGAGTATAAGATGTGCGCTCACCTCCAGATTAACCTGTAACAGGCTAATAACACTTTTTGTCCACTCAATGGGACTGATGTTTGTTGCACCATATGAAGAGTGGTGCAGTCCGGACACTTTTACCCCCTTCCTGTCCAGGGCAAATTTCAGCTTTCAGCGCTATCACGCTTTGATTGACAATTGCGCGGTCATGCAACACTGTACCAATATGAGTTTTTTACCCTTTTTTTGAGACAGATAAAGCTTTATTTTGGTGGTATTTATTCACCGCTGTCATTTTAATTTTTTTTGCTATATAAATGAAAAAGTCCAAAAATTTTGAAAAAAGTGTTTTTCTTATAAAATTTTGCAAATAAATAGTATTTCTTCATAAATCGTGGTCAAAATTTATTCCATTATCTTTTCAGTAAAAAAAAAAATAACCCAAATTAGTTATAACCAAAAATTATAATTTTTAAACATTTTGTTTTACATTTTTATTTTATTTTTTTATGGGTTTTTTTTTTTTTTTTTTTTTTTTTACATACCGTCACCCTAGCAGTGCAGTGTCACCAATGACACTGTACTACTTGTGGGGGGTGATGAAGATTTTTTTTTTTTTTTTACAGTGAATGCTTTTACACCCATATAGGATGTAAAAGCAATCATTTCTCTTTCTCTCTGTCTGCATTCCTGCAGCCATTGAGAAATACTGTGAGAGCTGTGATTGGTCACAGCTTGTCACATGGTACAAGGCTGTTGTGAATAGCCCTGTCCATGTGACCTCTGTGATCATTCACAGATTTCACACGTAGTAAGCAATGATGTCACAAGTGACATCTTGCTTACTACTTTGCATGTGATCACTGATGGCCAATCAGTGATCACATGATCGGGACCTCGTACAGAGGTCCCGTCCAACGATCGGTGTTTCGCTGTGTCCGGAGGACACAACGGGCACCGGATCGCGGTGCTGCGCGCTCCCAGGGAGAGCGCACAACTAGAAATAGTGGGTGCCGTTTATGAACGGCGACCCGCCCCTGGAGTGCCACCGTCCTGCCGTTTAAAAACAGCAGGCGGACGGCAAGTGGTTAAAGAGGATGTGTTGTATGTTTGCGATCCTGTAATAGCAGTGAGTGGCTCGCAAGTTACATCTTTGTTTTTATTTGAAGACATTTCTGCTGTCACCAATTGTTCTATAGCAAGCCTAGAACTGGATTATTGTTATGTAAATGACATGTACAGACAGTAGACAATGCTATGCCTTGAAACAATTGCATCAAAATACATAACAACTTATACCAACAAAAGGAGTAGCTACATTTATCCAGCCTATGCATGTATAGGCATGCCCAAACTTTACCAATTACACACATGTTATGCAATATGCCCTGAGTGCATGCCTGGACATGAGCTACACAAAGAATCATATAACAGAAGCGTAAAGGAAACTTAATATATGTATAAGAAGAAATTGCAAAAACAAAAGATTTCTAAAAAAAACGATAGATTAAATTACAGGTTATTTTCATGATTAGCCAAAATTCTATAATACACAAATGTTTTCAAGAAGGAAAATCTTTGTTGTCCAGTAATAAGGGGTAATGTATTGGATTTGTAAAGGATAAGATCACCTTTTGCATAAAAAAATAATAAATACACATTTTTTTTGCAGGTAAATTTATTTTTGTCTGCAGGAGCCTGTAAAGCATTGCACCAGTGATCAGCAGATCGCCAGCACCATGCAGGCCTCCTGCAGACCTGTCAGTATAGCTGCTTGCCTGTATGGGATGTACAGGCAAGGAGGTATACTGACAGGAAGATTCAGTGAACTACCTCGGCGCTCCAAGCCTCGGGACTTGCGGTTCATTCATTCACAGAACTCTGAGAATGAATGATGTGGTTTTCAAATCTGATAGCTGGTACGGGGAACCAGGGGCGGACTGACAACTCATGGGGCCCCCGGGCAATAGGGGATCATGGGGCCCCTGTGTCCTTGCCCAAACTCAAAAAAGCCTATGAAAAAGGTACCAGGGGCATCTCATGGGGCCTCCTACTGACTCCGGGCCCTGGGGCAGTGCCGAGTTTCCAAATGGTCAGTCCCCCCTGCTCCATAGTAAAACAGCACACAGTGTAAGCACAACACAACATACAGTTATTATTATTATTATTTATTATACAGTATTTATACAGTATTTATAAAGCGCCAATAGTTTGCTCAGCGCTGTACATTACAAAGGGGGACAGAACATGTGACAGAACAATAACAATACAATGTAAAACATGAGGGGATCGAGGGCCCTGCTCTTTCGAGCTTACAATCTAGGAGGGAGGGGATGGTGGCACAGGAGGAGATAGCTGTGGGGGATGGGGTGGTAGGAAGAGTGGAGGAGGTCGGCAAGTTAGCAGGGGGTGGTGTAGGCTTCCCTAAAGAGGTGGGTTTTCAGGGTGCGCCTAAAGGAGAGGAGAGTAGGTGATAATCTGATCGGTTGGGGCAGGGAGTTCCAGAGGATGGGTGACACCCTGGAGAAGTCCTGGAGGCAGGCATGGGAGGAGGAGACCAGGGAACTAGAGAGAAGGAGGTCTTGTGAGGAGCGGACTGTGCGTGTTGGGGCGGTATTTGGATATTAGGTCAGTGATGTAGTTCGGGGCAGTATGGTGGACGGCTTTGTACGTCAGTGTTAGGATTTTGAATTTGATCCGTTGTGCAATCGGAAGCCAGTGGAGGGATTGGCAGAGGGGGGTGGCGGAAACGGAGCGGATGGAAAGGTGAATGAGTCTGGCAGCCGTATTCAGGATCGACTGAAGCGGGGATAGCCTGTGGCGAGGCAGGCCAGTGAGGAGGGAGTTGCAGTAGTCGAGTCGTGATATGATGAGGGAGTGGATGAGCGTTTAGTGGTTTCTGGGGTTAGGAACGCGCGTATTTTGGCGATGTTGCGGAGGTGGAGTCTGCATGAGTTTGTTAAAGATTGGACTTGGGGCTGGAAGGATAGGTTGGAGTCCAGAATGACACCAAGTACTCTGGCCTGCAGGGCGGGTTTGATATTGGCGTTGTTGGATGTGATGGAGAAGTCAATGGGGGGTGGGGTCCGGGCTGGGGGGAAGACAAGAAACTCGGTTTTGGAGTTACAGTTAACCCTTTCATCGCCCCACTCCTTCCTGCCCAGTGTCATTAGTACAGTGTCAGTGCTTTTTATTAGCACTGATAACTGGATTAGTGTCACTGGAGATGACAGTGGCTGTTAGTTCCCACCCAGAGTCAGAATGCCCGCCGCAGTCCCGCTATAAGTCGCTGATCGCCTCCATTACAAGTATTAAAAATAAATAAATATTCCATTATATATACCACCATTTGTAGACACTGTAACTTGTAGAAGAACACATTTTGGCCGAAATTTATTAAGAAATTTAAATTTTTTATTGGATATGTTTTATAGCAAAAAGGCACAAATATTTTTTTTTTCAAAATTGACAGTATTTTTTTGGTTATAGCGCAAAAAATAAAAACCACAGAGATGATCAAATACCACAGAAAGAAAGCTATATTTGTGGGGGAAAAAATGACATATATTTAATTTATGTACAGCATTGCATGACAGCTCAATTGTCAGTTAAAGTAACACAGCGCCGTATTGCAAAAAAAAAAGGGGCCCCCTGGCAATAGGGGATCATGGGGCCCCTGTGTCCTTGCCCAAACTCAAAAAAGCCTATGAAAAAGGTACCAGGGCCATCTCATGGGGCCCCCTATTTACCCCGGGTCCTCGGGCAGTGCCCGAGTTTCCAAATGGTCAGTCCGCCCCTGCATGGAACTTCTCCCCATACTTCTGTCAGAGAGGAGAGGGAGGGATAGCGGGCAGCAGCTGCAGTATTGGCAACATGTTACATGTTCCATCCTAAAAATGGGAGTAACATGTAACATGTTACAAAAGGTGAACTTATCCTTTAAAGTAGTACTATAGGCAAAACTTTTTTTTCCGTTTGGTTAGAACAAGGGAGGATTATAACTCCTGTTAGATTTTTTTTCACTATCTGTGTCCCATGGTGAAGACTTCACTTCCTGTTCCATAACCAAAAAGGAAGTGAGAAGAAATCCCTGCAAATTAAGGGATTTCCTTGGGGACAACCAAGTCACCAGACCTAGCGTCCCCATTGGAAGATTTCCCCTCTATTACTTTTCTGGGGACCTCCCACATATTGGAATTTTCTTTTACATTCACCTCGAATGATAATGATATACAGGACAAATAGAGCGGGTGAATCTCCTTAACGGGGGCACAGACAGAGATAAAAACTGACAAATGTTCTAATACCTCTCCACTCTATACAAAACTAAAAAAAAATAGTTTTGCCAATAGTTATACTTTAATATCAGATAAGTGCACTTTAGGATTAGATTGCATTTTGCTTTAATTCCTCCATAGTAAATGTTATTGCATTTTAAATGTATGTTACATCGTTACATAGTTAGTCTGGCTGAAAAAAAGACAAAAGTCCATTCAGTTCAACCATAGAAAAAAAAAATTAATATCCTATACACACAGTTAATCCAGAGGAAGGCAAAACAAAACCCAGCAAAGCACAGTCCAATTTGCTCCTGCTAGGAAAAAAATTCCTTCCTGATCCTCCAAGAGGCAATCAGATATTCCCTGGATCAACTTTACCTATAAATGTTAGTATCCAGTTATATTCTGTGTATCCAAGAAAGAATCCAGGCCTTTTATGAAGCAATACACTGAGCTGGCCAGAATCAACTCTTGAGGGAGTCTATTCCACATTTTCACAGCTCTCACTGTGAAGAAACCTTTCCGTGTTTGGTGATTAAATTTCTTTTCCCCCAGACGTAAAGAGCGCCCCCTTGTCCTCTGTGATGACCTCAGGGGGAATAGCTCTACACCGAGTTCACTATATGAACCACTGATGTATTATACATGGTGATCATATCCCCCCCTGATGTATTATACATGGTGATCATATCCCCCCCTGATGTATTATACATGGAGATCATATCCCCCCCTTATGTATTATACATGGTGATCATATCCCCCTTATGTATTATACATGGAGATCATATCCCCCTTATGTATTATACATGGAGATCATATCCCCCTTATGTATTATACATGGAGATCATATCCCCCTTATGTATTATACATGTTGATCATATCCCCCCTTATGTATTATACATGGAGATCATATCCCCCTTATGTATTATACATGGAGATCATATCCCCCTTATGTATTATACATGGAGATCATATCCCCCCTTATGTATTATACATGGAGATCATATCCCCCCTTATGTATTATACATGGAGATGATATCCCCCCTTATGTATTATACATGGAGATCATATCCCCCCTTATGTATTATACATGGAGATCATATCCCCCCTTATGTATTATACATGGAGATCATATCCCCCCTTATGTATTATACATGGTGATCATATCCCCCCCTTATGTATTATACATGGAGATCATATCCCCCCTTAATCTCCTCTTCTCAAGAGAGAATAAATTCAGTTCCTCTTATCTTTCCTCATAGCTGAGCTCCTCCATACCTCGTATCAGTTTGGTTGCCCTTCTGTGTACTTTCTCCAGTTCCCCAATGTTCTTTTTGTGTAAACACATCTAAATTGGTTGAGTACATTAGCCACCAACACAACCCCGAAGATGAACTCTTATTTTACCCTGTAACTTCCTGCTTTAATATTTGACTTCATTTCAGGCAGTAATATAATTATTAAATATTCCCTACTCCTTCCCACCTGACAAACAGTCAAATGCGTTTTGTTTTTTGTATTATTTGCTTAAATCCAGAGTGCCAGTCTTTCTCCTCTTCAGTTCAAGTTGTGACCAGAGGGCCACCATGCTGTTCTTCTTGCCTGTAACCAACCGGTCTTGTCGCTGCCTCTCTTGCTGAGGTTATCATGTACAATGCAGGACAATTGGCTTTGTCCCATCCTGATGACATGGCTGCTGGTTCTGCATTTTATGTGATGATGTCCAGCCACCCAAACTTTAAAATTTAAAAATGCAGCACTAAGTATATATCTAAAATAACATGATATAATAAATTCAACATATAGAACAGTGGTCTCCAAACTGTGGCCCAGGGGCCAGATGCAGCTCTTTGCCTACCTTTATCTGGCCCTTGGGGCACTTCTCCTCCCGCTGATACAAGACACTATTCCTTTCCTCCCACCAACAATTGGGCATAATTACTGCTACTGACATCAACAATGAGGCACTATTTCTCCCATTGACACCAACGATGGGGTACTATTCTTCCCACCAATACAAATGATGGGGCACTATTCCTCCTACTGACACCATTGATGGGGTACTATTGCCCCCCACTGACACAATAGGACACCATTCCTCAAACTGACACCAATGATGGGGCACTATTCCTCCCACTGACACCAATGACTGGGCACTATTCCTCCCACTGACACCAATGATGGGGCACTATTCCTCCCACTGACACCAGCAACTGGGCACTATTCCTCCCACTGACACCAGCAACTGGGCACTATTCCTCCCACTTACACCAACGAAGGGTCACTATTCCTCCCCATAATACCAAAGATACTCTCAATGGCCACAGTCCGCCCCCCCGAAAATCTGATAGACAGTAATATGGCCCTTTTGTTTAGAAATTTTGGAGATCCCTGATATAAAATATAGAAAGTCCAGTGTTAAGAAAACAGCATGAGTCCAATATGTGTCCACAGAAACATCGGAGGGAAAAAGATCCTTCACCAACACCAAACACAATGGCCCTTACCAGATAATTTTCACCCCCAAAGGAAGGTCAATAAACGCTGTATGTTTCCCAGAAACAATCACTGGACTAAATGTACTTCATAAGATTCCATCCTTCAGAACAAAACTCCTGATGAAAAGCACCTGAATATCTTGTAACCTCATATGGGATATTCCAAAGCAAAGAAAAAATCCTCATAGTGTAGTAAATTGTGGTCATTTAATAAGAAAAATAGTAATGCACGTACATAATCAAGTATAAAAACAGCATGTCACCATAAACACAGAAAGTTAATTTCAAATCAATAAGATAGCTGCCACATTCTGGTGCATGATGACATCAAACACTCAACCCAACGCGTTTCGTCATCGGTGACGTCATCAGTAGATTTTATAATTCATCTCAAGAGCAATTTTAGGTTTTTATTTTTACATTCCAAACTTAATTAAAAAATTGTGGACTGCCAACTAGCACAGGACCGCCAGCTGTGAAGGTCAGTAGTACGCTGTGTGTCTCATCTCCTTGAAAAAAAACTATAGATCCTTTCGTCCACTGGGGACAATACTTATTGATTATCTTACTGCCACATACATTACTTAGTGTAATGTATGTGGAAGGCCTACTAGTGCTGGGCACTACCAAAACTTTTGCACTTTACCTGTCCAAAGTGCAAAAATTGCTGTGCAAACACCTTATTTTTTCTTCATTGTTAGCCATCACATTTCTGCTGTAGAACTTATGTTTAGTGCAACCATGCCTTGGGATGTTCACTCTTTGGCAAACCACGTCAATGCCTTCTTTAATAGCCATGCCTGAAATAACCCTTTAACTTTACAACAGCCTCCAACATCATCAAGGAGCCACACATAATTTTCAGTATATGTAATGTTAAAGTGATTCTAAAGGCTTTTTTTTTTTCCAGTTGATTTAAAAAAAAATAAAAATCAGCAGCTACAAAAATTGTAGCAGCTGACTTTTAAAATACAGACACTTAGCTGTCCCATAATCAAGCGGTGTCCTCACCATGGCTGGTTTCACCAGCCATCTTCTCTCCCCAGCACCGGCATCTTCAGTGTGGACACCCAGCTGTGACAGCTTGTGGCTTCACAGCCAGTTGCCCACTGCGCATGCGTGAGTAGCGCTGAGCTTTGTGAATGGTCCCGTAGTGTTCTGGGACCTGTCACGTGTCCCAGAAGACTACAGGGAGGGAGGGGGGGTGGAGGACAACTTCCGCTTCCAATCGCCTTAGGCGATTGCAGCGGAAGTGGGAGCGGGTACCTGTCAAATTCTGCTATCCGGTCCATAAAGGTGCCAGTCCTCAACGGGATGCTGGGGATAGTGCATTAAAGTATTAAAGTGGAACTTCCCTTTTTGGGTGGAGCTCCATTTAATAACAAACATGTCTATACTTACAGTTGCAAGAAAAAGTATGTGAACCCCTTGGGATTACGTGGAGAGTACTTAAATTGAGAGAACAGTAAAGCTGGGTACATACTGATAGTTTATGTTTTCTTCAAGCCAGCCAGTTGACCGATAAAACAACTGACAGATCGCTGTAGTAACACAAGAGATGGTGCGGCATAAATTCCTTCTGCAAGTTAAAATTTTGCCCAAACAAAAATACAAAAATTCCTCATCCTCGCAATCCAAATCTCCCTCCCAGCACATATGTTTGCTCCCCAATCCCACCATCTAGCTCAAATCTCCCCCAATTGCCCACAAATCACCTCTTCTAGCACACATCCTCTTTCCTTCCAAATTCCCCCTCCTAGCATACATTCGGCCCCAAATCCCCCCTCCTAGCACAAATCCTCTACCACAAATCTCCACTTCTAGCACAAATCATCACCCCTGAATACCCACTTCTAGCTTAAATCCTCCCCTGAAATCTGCACTCCGAGCGTAAACCCTCCTCCCACATCCCCACTCCTAGCATAAACTCTCCTCCCAAATTCCCACTCCTAGTACAAATCTTCTCCCCCAAAGTCCCCCACCTCAAATCCATCCACTTAGCACAACCCCCTGGAAATTACC